TCGTCCACTGGCATCACAAACGGCGTCGAACGAACACTAATGTCATTCCCTTGTCAGTAATTTGAATCTCTTGGATAATATGATTCTTAGGCAATAACTTGCCAAATCCATGAATGGAGTAAGAAGTTCGCCGAGATCATAACAGTATAGATGCGAAATCAGCAAATATGCTTTTTCCGAGTATTTACGCTGACGCCTGTAGCACAAAATCATGGCAGCACCTCAGTGCAAGGAAAGCTGTCGAAACGAACTTGAGGCTCTTTGTAGTGTATCTAAAAATGCAGTTTTTCCGCTGTTTCAGTTTTGCTTGGACTTTGAATCTCACGTACTGTTATATACGCATACTTCATAGCTTTAAAAATTAATAGTTCTACTAGAGAATCGTTGACTATGTTGTGTCAAGTATATTGTAGCAAAATGAGCACAAACAAGTTAGTTTAAATGAGATGGGACAACGGAACCTTTAGTCAAGAATCACGTAACCCTAAACCCGTACTTTAGAGAAGACGAGTTGCACCCTACTTTGCTTGTCTTCCTCCCCCCACACCCTTCCTCTTGCCTTAATCTCATATAATAGAGAAGGGAAGAAAGAATTCATACTTTGCTCTACACACATGTTTTGCTCCGGTTTTACTGATGGGAGTGAATTTACAGACTCATAGATAAGAGGTAGCAATTCAATGAACTCATTGATAAGCAAACTCTAGGAATAAGTCTAGGATTTCGTGCAAATGCAACTCCTAATCGTCATTCTGCAAACGGACGCAATCAATATCTCTGTTCTGTTTTTGCGCCGAACATCTGCAGCGGCCGTTGAGCTGGTCATTGCTGACCATTCACAAATATCTCATCATTGCTCATCGTTTTGATGAACATTCTTATAAATCCATTTCTCCTTGTCACGTAATCGCTGTTCTCTCACGTCGTCAAAATTTCACAATTTTGATTTGCTCTCTGTACAGGAGCTACTCATTACCAGAAATGATTGACGATAACACCTACAAGACTCTTTTCGAGTAAGTTTACAATTATTTATATCTGGAATTTATCCTTTACAATTCCTAAGCAATTTAGCGCTATCGACGCTCGTCAGGAAGAATTTGTCAAAGTTCTTAAGGAAGCAGTCGCAATCACCTCCGTGTCAACAGAACCGGAGCGACGTCCTGACTGCGTGAAGATGGTTATGTGGATGAAAAAGGTGGGTAGACAATTGCTGATGCAGTGTTGATGGCTATATCCAACCTAATTAATTGGTTGCAGACAACCAAATATAAACAGTACAGCGGATACAAATTTCTAATGCGCATATCGTGTAGTTACACAATACACGCATAGGATTCGACTTTAGTCACTGCTTGCCCCCATTGTAAACTTAGTTAACTACTCCCAAAGCACGTCTACATAGATCTGATGTAGCGCAAGTACCACAACAGGGAGAACTTTACCTATGGACCGTAAATGTACCCTATGCTGCAAATATCAAACTAAGAAGTCAACTAACGTCATTCTTCCAGAAGTTTGAAGGAGTCGGAGCGAAAACACAAGTCGTTGAAATTGGAAAGCAAAAACTTCATGATGGCAAAACCATTGATTTGCCGCCCGTATTATTTGTTACACTAGGTGGGTAACCTCTTCTCCGCATATCTTCAAATTCCACACGCCTTTACTCTTTTGCATGACCAATTATCAGAGAAAGGTACCGTATATACTTTTTAATCCACATGTATACAGGAGATGACCCCAACAAGAAAACTGTGCTTATCTATGGCCATCTCGACGTCCAGCCTGCTTACAAGGAGGTACTTACTACAGCACCATTTTTTGTTCCATACTTTATGGACCTTCTAACATAATACAACTCTGTCTTCATGAAATTATTGATTACAGGACGGTTGGAATACCAATCCTTGGGAGTTGACGGAAATTGACGGAAAACTTTATGGAAGAGGTTCTACCGATGACAAGGTAACTACACGCTCATTTGGTTATCAACATATTTCTTCTATATTTATTTCGTAATGCGCTTATGGACTTTCTAGGGACCAGCTATCTCTTGGGTGCACGTCATTAGTGTTTTCCAGAAGAAAGGAATTACCATACCCGTCAACCTCAAGGTTTTTCAACCCGATATCTAAGTTTCTTTTAATTGTGATCATGTACTGATCTAGTTCGTCTTCGAGTGTATGGAAGAGGATGGCTCCCAGGGATTAGAG